ACACATGAACATACTAAGATTCTTGGCAGCTTTTTCGAACAAGGGTCAAATGCTTCGTTGTCCATAGGCAATTATCGCAGGGAAAAACAAGACCAATAATATGTGAAACTGTGCGCGGCACATACTCTTTGCCTAGATCACTCATGCGGCCACACTTGCATGGCCAGGCTTGTCCTGCGGTGGCCTCATTCGACATCTCTGGAGAATGTGAACTTTGTATAGCAAGGCTTCTCCAACCTAACCAGAGGCGGTTAGCATGCTGCGTTAGGGCCCGGATAAACAAGTTACCAAAATGGGCTAGCGTAAAGGTGACCTGTCCGGGGAGGCACGCTAATCCCTGAATAGCAGCACGAGACTAAGCTTATCTGGGCTAGCTTGGATCTGGATTTAGCGTACCTCGTGATTCAGGTTCCAGAAGCCTCAGACCAGGAGAAACAAGGCCAAAATCCCTCGTCAGACGTTGATTGTCGTCGCCTCACTGTCGGGATCTCCCCGTCCTGCTTTGTTCCTCGGAATACACCCGTCATTCGTTGCAGACCCTCCAGTGAACGCCGCGGAAGTCCTCTCTGGATCACTGGAACCCCGTCTCCGTCCGTCGTTGTGGAGACGGCTCGGATCCGCTCATCTTGCGATATCATCGAACGACCCAAACAATCACACGGCTATACCACACCCAGGTTCAACGGGCGGTCGAAATGGGGTTCGGTGATTTTGACACGATCTGTCAGAAGGCAGCGCTGCCGCTGTGCTCCCTCGTGGGCCCGGCCTCCTCGATATCAGGCGCAACCGGCATCATTCCCAATTGCTATGCGCGAAACATCGAACTGGCCAACACAATCATCTTCGAAGGCGCCGCGTCCTTCGTCCATATCATAGCGCTGGCAATGACAGTCATTATGATCCTACACATCAGGTCCAAGTTCACCGCGGTCGGTACGTAAACCACCCCCAGTCGCAATTTACTCAAATTGGGAGAACAACTACTAACCCCATGCGCGAGTACCCAGGTCGCAAGGAGATCATCACCTTCTTTTACATCTATATGCTCCTAACAATGTGCTCCCTGGTCATCGATGCCGGGGTGGTTCCGCCCAGGAGCGGCCCGTTTCCTTATTTCGTCGCTGTGCAAAACGGTCTAACCTCCGCCCTATGCACGAGCCTGCTCGTCAACGGATTCGTGGGATTCCAGCTCTACGAAGACGGCACAGCACTCTCGGTCTGGCTCCTCCGTCTAACTTCCACAGCGATGTTCGCCATCTCATTCGTCATCTCCCTCCTGACGTTCAAGTCATGGGGCGGGCTCAGTCCCACCAACACCATCGGCATGTTTGTAGTACTATACCTCCTCAACGCAATCTGTATAGCAGTCTACCTCATCATGCAACTCCTATTGGTCATGAACACGCTCGAAGACCGCTGGCCTCTCGGTCATATCGCCTTCGGCCTCCTGGTCTTCATCTGCGGTCAGGTGCTCCTCTACGCGTTCAGTGACACCATCTGCGAGAATGTCCAACACTACTTGGACGGTTTGTTCTTTACGACCATCTGTAATCTGTTAGCGGTCATGATGGTTTACAAGGTACGTTGGTTGCAGTTTCCATTATCTAAACCCTGCTCCACACTAATGTATGCGGGTGCTGATCATCCCCAGTTCTGGGATTACATTACGAAGGAAGACCTCGAATTCTCCGTCGGTATCAAACCCAATACATGGGAGGTTATGGAGTTTCTTCCGGAAGAAGATCGTCGCGCAACAGTCTACCAGGACACAAATTCGGAGTATGCCGGAAGCATGTATCGCCGAGCGTCCGCTTATAACAGTCACAATTATTAATCACTATTAGGTTTGATATATTTTAGAGGTGACGATCTTATCCAAGGGTCATTTATTTGAATTTTTTTTTTTCGTCTTTCAAAGTTAGTCATTTGATTCGCGTTGTTGCGGCCTAACGAGGTGATGCCTGAGCTTGAGCGTGGTTGAATATTCCTTTTCTTTTTCTTTTTCTTTTTTTTTAGTAACGTTTTACAATCATATGTGGAACTTCGACTGTTACATTTTCGACGATGTTTTCTTTCAATTGTCCATACGACGGTAGCGTTGATCCATACAACGTTTCCTTGATATTTATTGACCCCTTCTGTGTGATGTGTACAGTGGATAAGCCAACTTAGTTCTGTATCTAGAATAGTTACACAATTAGAGCGATTCAAGCCGTTCTTCGAATCTCCTGTTTGCCCCAACCCGTTGCATCATTGAAATTTTGATATTTCACATGACATCTATCACCTTTTGTGCAAAACCGCCATGGCTGCAGTGTAAGGCCGGAGGCGAACAATGAATGCTATCAGCTAGATCGGGCCCTGGCGCTTGGCCGGGAAGAACGAGTGGAAGGACCACTGTGGTGTCCAAGGTCGCTAATGTGCCTAGGAAAATAGTTCCGCAGCTGCCAGGAGCCAAGGACAAGGACCGGTGGAGCAGGGGATCTGGGACCGTTCTTCCATCCCCACAGTTCGAACCCGTGATGGTTTGAGTGGGAAAGACATGGCGATTTCGGAGACAGTCCGTGGCTAAATTAACAACATGATCTCGATTCCCCACCTTGCTATTGTAACGGCTATTATCGCACCATTCTTTGACCCCTCGACTACCAAGGTGCAATCGATGCGGAATAGGGGGTGTAACACCGGAAAAGATGGAACCGATATAAGCGATATCATGCGTCGGCTGCACCGACTGGCATAATTAGCTCGAATTTAATTCTGCAGAGGCCCTCGCAGGTGGCCCCAACGGTCGTTCTGCGTTCCCGAGAATAGGGCGCGTAAGCGAGCTACGCTCGAATTTGGAAAGACTCGACGACCAATCGTAGCTTTTATTCCACAATTACGACATCTTCGCCATCCATAAAGCCACTATCATGGTCGGCAGGGGTCCTGGCGGTCTCGGTCCGCGGCAGGTCGCTGTCAACTTCTTCTACAGGGCCCGTCGCGGTCGAATACCATCCCTGGTCGACCGACTCTGCCACGATCTTGCATGCTGCATTGACCAGTTCATAAAAAGCAGGGTTTTCTTTTGGTAAAAACATGCTAACGTGCGCCTTAATTTCGTCTGCTGCCTTATCATTCACAGCTTTGACCCATCCGAGTCCTGCTTTCGGGTCGTACGCAGCATCTTCGTTTTCCACTTCAGGTGGGAGGGTGCAGAACGTACGGTATTTCGAGCGAATGATTCTTTGACTCAGTGATGTTTTTCCTTGGCTCGAGGTCTCTACCAGCGAGGTTGCGTTTTTGCCCAAGGCTGTAAAGAAATTGGTGCAGCTGATTCCGCGTTCCCTTTGCACCTCGGACAAGAGTGATATGCGGTGGCGAAGATCAGAGGGACGGGCCAAGCACCCAACAAATGCAAGATGAGATGAAACCCAACCCCATCCGTCCGTCAAGCGTTGGCGTTGAGAATACATTGCAGCCGCTCCTCCCGCAGCCACAGCCCCTGCGGCCCCTGCAAACATAGCATACCGACCCCACCGCTGCCAAGATGGTGTCGCTGCAGCATCTGAAGATGGAGTGGCAGCACTAGCCTGCTGTGCAGGCAAGGATTTGTTGCCTGTGGCTCCCTGATTGGCGCTGGCTGCCTTGGTAGATGAGCCGCTGTTGTCCCCAAAACCAAACAGGCCTGCTACTTCCGTGATCGCAGTGTACGCAGTCGTAGCATTCTTGTACTGTCCTTCTGCACCATATGAAACGACTCCCGGGGCAATTCCCAGAAATGGCGTATCGAATGCAAGCACTCCTTGAATATGAGGAAACATGAATGAGCCAGATTCGAGGATTTGTGAATTGGCGGTGGTTTGCGAGTCTGCGGAAGAGGTTTTGGCAGGGATTGGCTGCTCCGAAGCCAGAAGAAGAAGCGTTTCTCCGGCGACAATGCCTCCCATCGAGTGCCCAACTAGGAAGACATGAACTGAAGGATCAACGGTAGGTGAGGCTGTTCGGTTGGCAACTTCCAGATCTATGACTTGGTTTTGTAACCTGCAGCGAAGGGAGACTATCAGTGATCTGAAATAGCACAGTGGATAGCACGACATACCAATCTCGAAATTGGCCCACACATTCTTTCAGATCTCCTCTGGTTTGGTACTTAGGATACACAGCTGTAGCGACGGTTATAGCAGGAAGAGCACGACCGATGAGTGCACGTACGTGCTCCGGAAATTTTCCGAAGGTATCGTCATCTCCCTATGACAGGTCTATCAACGGCATGGATCTACTGGTATGACAATGTTGACACGTGCGGGGTAGAACGATTCAGGAATGAAAGGCCGTGTAATGGGGAGACATACCTTGAAGCCGTGGATAAAAACAAGGAGCAATGTCTTTTTCATTTTGGTGATTCATAGATAGTCCAAAAAGTACATGTTCAGCAAGTGAAGTCGACGTTGAAGATTACGACGGAGAGTCCAGACCCTCTCTCAGAAGAAAATCAAAAATAGAAGATATTGTTACGTCATATTCACGTGACTCTCTTTTCACAAAGAGGATACACAGTAGTCCATCATCCACTATATCAACTAGTAAATAGGCAGCTATATTACACCTACCGTGAACAGATGATGATATATTCAACCCCATTTTTGATTGTAGGACGTGGGCCTTGGGAAAGATTCAAGTTACTGTGGGAGAGGCTGAGCGTCCTTTTATATATCTAGTGTTGATTTACGCATCTTTATGTATTTTATATTGTCCGGAGATAGGCTGGCTGTTGGATTGTGGCAGAGTTAGCGACAAAAAGAATAGACCAATGATGCTAAATTATCGTAATACATAAATACATTGTATTGTGAGATTCATAGCAAAAGTTGCGCTCTCTGTGGCCAGTAACTCAGCAGTGGAGTTAGTCTCATGTGGAGATTGCTACCATCAGTGTCACTTCAATGTTCTCTACACAGTACTGCTAAGTCCACTTAAAGAATATGAGTAATTGTGCTCTTACAGTTAATGGAGTATATATATATATATATATATATATGCCTCTGTTCTGAAATATTATGGTACGAAGGACTCATGATATGATGTCCAATCTACTAGAGGCAATGTATATATCCTCGGCATCTCCCGTCTCCACACTATTGATTTATGATCACATAGCCGAGACCGGCTCCTTTAAAGGCATATTTCCACTACAAGCAACGTGGTTCAGTCTGATATATTCAAAGTAATACCAAGGCTAAACAATACGAGTAGTACCAAACACATCCACAATCGCAAACATGACCACCGGCGAATTCTATAACATCGTGAAGCTCGTGCCCAAGCCGGGCAAGTTCAACGAGGTACGAACAGCTTCTGTGCCCTCTAATAAAACCATTCTAACATATAACCAAGCTTCTGGCAGCGTTCAAATCATTCTCAGAGCATGTCCAGGCAAATGAACCCAAGACGCAAATCTACTGTGCTCTTCGTCCTGACAAGACCGAGGAGTTGGTGTTTATTGAGAAGTGATTGCTTTGTAGATCGGGTCCTGAATGAACAAGTTCGCTAACTAGCTTGTTTCAGGTATACCGACTTGGAAAACCTGAAGGCCCATGGAACGTCCCCTGAGTTCAAGAAGTTCTCTAAGGCCATTGGAGCTTTGCTCGCACGGGCTCCGGAGATGACGAAAGCTGACTTTGTTGGTGGGTTCGAGGGAAGATCGAAGCTTTAAGAGTACTTAGAGTTTGCTTGAGCATTTTGAATTGACTGAGTATGATCAGTTGTATGGTAGTCAAGATGATGGGTGGTTGATGGGAACCGCTACTACTTGAGTTGCGTCTTTCGAGATATACACTAATCTTTTGATTTATGCCTATGGTACAACGGAGAGCGCAGAGGATCATTGGAACGCAAATATATGTGCAGATACTATCACGGGTACTCGTATGGGAAGATCGTACTGCATGTGGATATATACAGTGTATTAAATCTCTGCAGTTGGATACTCTATATTATATACATGTCACATCATAGCTTCCCTCCTCGGTCGTGCTTTCTAAGTCTCAACAGACTATCTTGATAACTAGTAGCCACCAGTTTCCCATCCGGACTCCAGAGCCAGCTCTCATGAATTGCCCGGTTCTCGCCAGAACGAGGTGTCCACCCCTCTTGCACGAACCACTTTTTCGGCAGATCCGTACCATCGTGGCTCGACGCTGCATCCCAATCAATCATCCTTAGAGCATCACCACGCTGATGAAAGATCACCGTGAGAGTCAAGCTAGCCATTCCAGTCCAGTTCTTGAGCCCCAGAGCGCGCGGTATCAACAGCAAAGAGTTTCTGTCACTCGCATACATATGTGCACATGCGTATAGGTTATCAAATTCCCCTGACTGCTCTTTCGCTTTCAGTTCTTCCCTGCTGACCGGGACCGCAGAATCTTGAGGCGATCCTTTGAGCGAATACTGATGAAGCTGGCGATACTTCTCAGGATTCTGCTTTACATCCTCGGTAAGGTTGTACTCCTGCATATCGGTCTTGCGCATATCCAACCCGGGGAACTCCCGCTCCGTGATACTTCCCTGCTCCACCACTTCGATCCACCAGTCGGCATCCACACTAGGGCTGACAATCTGATCTTCCACGCGTTTCGCTTGAAGGACGGACTTGAAGCGCTCCTGTGCGGAGGGAGGCTGATGCGCAAACGTCTCCGGCCCCTCATCCCGTTTGAATGAGCATAAGCACGAGAAGCACACCTTGCCTCCCTGCCGTGCATCTACTGCACGGGTACAGTACATCTTGCCATCTCTCACATGACGCACTGTGTACACATACGGAACATCTAACCGTCCCGCCAAGATGAATGTGCCAGTCATATCCTGATTAATGTTAGCCCGATTTGCTTCGAGAATATGCATCAGTGGCTAGGGGGCCTACGTGGATTACGAAGCCTTTCTCCACTGTCTTTGACGCTGCGTATGCGGACTGTGCATAGACGTGTCCACCGAAGGCCATTTTGCCTTCACCCGGTGGATACGGTAATGCGAGCGATTGGAAACGCTCAATCTTTTCAGGCTCATCAGATGGGATGCCGTGCAGGTGGCTGGGGCTATCGATTTGCTTTAGAGCCATCAGCTCGGCGAATGCCGACGGGGAGGCCACCAGCTGGGGATCGCCATCGCTTCTATCGGGTAGCATGGTGGCAACCTGGTAGGGATTGAAGTTGGGGGAATTAGAGCGACGACTTCGAGGGACCGATCCTCCGGATATCTATGAGCAGGAGAGTGGAATAGGAGATAATCTAATCCGGCTCGCAGCTGATGTGTTACTAGTACTATATGTAAGTCCTCGGATTGGCGCGACGCATGACCGCCTTACCCGATGTGACTATGGGGGAACCTCGGTTGATCGGCTGGAGGTCTCCGCCGCCTTCATTGTGAATCTCAAGATATAGATGGCTTTGCCAGCTTTGTGGAGGATTCAACCCCTGTAAAATAGCTACCCGGAGGACAAACTGCGTGTGCCAAGTATAACATGGGATATTTATATCACAGAGTGATTTGGCATAAAAGGAATCGGAAACTACTTCCGCAAAGCACATGCTGCCAACCAAATGTCCCGATGCGCAGATCATATCGTGGTAATGAACTAGCATAAAGTCTAATACGCGAGAGTGAAGCCATCTCAAACTGGACTATGATAGCGCTGCGGTTTGAGACCCAGGATCTAAGTCACGTGTCATGCTGAGCAGCCTGTGGAGAATCTGGACAGGTGTACGGCGTAGAATGGCACCTCAAAGTGAAACCCAATTATGTGATATATATGTGCGCCTGCGATGCTGGTATGATAGTACAAAAACACAACCCTCAATCCCAATAATACAGTGAACCGGCAATGTCCGTCAATGTCCGAATACAAATCAACAACTTAGACGAGCTGTACAACGGCTCTTCTTCATCTCATCCATTCAATTCGTAGTCAGAGAAGCGACCTCTTCTAGATAGACTCGGAAATGTTGCGTGCGTTGTTCCATTCAACCTTGCCCTGGACATCCTTGATGTCTTCAAGCTTGTCGCCCAGCTTGACAACCGAGAAGCGAACCATCCGGGGGTCGAGGCCGAGGGTTCTGCGGACAGCCATCTGTACGGGGCCAGAGGCATCAAAGCGCATGATGAAGTGGTGGCCTTCCGTGTATCGGGCCTGGTGCTTTGTGGTGGGCTTGGGGAGTCGGAAGGTGCCCCAGTTGGTGTATCCGCGGACTACGCCGCCGGAGCGCAGGACCTGAATGCCGGCATTACGGGCAATTCTGAAACAAGTTAGTTATTGTCGTCGTCTAGATATATTTCTCAATGGTGAATTCATCGGATCCAGGATGATAAGGGAGGCATCTCGAATGGACAGTAAATCGCGGGAAGGACATACTCTCGGACCTCGTGGAGGCTGCCCGGACGGACCTGTCAAAGGGTTCAGTTAGCTTGAACAACATGGGCAATCGTCTGAGGAAACTCATAGGACATCATACAATGGCAATCAGCTCGTACAACATGGCCGCAACCGGTGTGGGGGGGAGATAGCGTCGGAGAAGAACAACGGGATGGGGACGATGAGTTTTTCCCGACTTACGGCCAACGGATTGTAGAGGCGCTTATCAGCAGTCTTGGCGCTCCTATCAGTCCGGGAACTATGTAAGCTACTACTTTAACCTGCGCAATCTCTCCGCGGACTCCAACTTTCCCTCTTCTTTATCTCTACTTTCCTGCCTTCCCACACCTTCCCTCGACTCAATTCGTATTCTCTTCACTCGAAACTTCTCAAAATGTCTGCCGTCGCCAGATCCGTCCGTCCCTTCGCCTCTCGCGTGCTTTCCCAGAAGCTCCCTCTGGCCGCCGCATGCAGGGTTTCGCCCGCAGCTCGTTTCCCGCGGGGAAGTGTTAGGAGCTTCTCCCAAAGCCCATTCAGTAAGAGACCTTCCAAATTCTGCTCAGAAGGGCATTGAGGTATCGTACAGCAGTTACAAATACTAATATTTTATGAAATGTTGCAGTGGCCGTGAAGAAGTACACCGAGTCGCACGAATGGATCGAGCTGGCCGATGACGGCAAGACTGGTAAGTTCATACCCGGCGGCACCTGGCGCACCGCAGCCTCAATGCGCATGTGGTACTAATCATGATGAATAGCCAAGGTCGGAATCACAGAGTATGCCGCCCATTCCTTGGGCGACGTTGTGTTCGTTGAGCTTCCTGAGATCGGCTTGGAGGTCAACGCCGGTGAACCTGTTGGAGCTGTGGAGTCTGTCAAGTCGGCTTCCGACGTCAACTCTCCTGCCGCCGGTACGGTGACCCAGGTTAACAGTGTCCTGGAGGACAAGGCCAAGTTCATCAACGAGAGCCCCGAGGGTGAGGCTTGGATTGCTGAGATCTCGGTCAATGACGTCGCAGAGCTTGACGGCCTGCTTGATGCCGAGGCCTACAAGGCGACCGTTGGTGAGGCGTAAGGGGACATGTCGGGCAAAGAGAATGTATAGACGTGATGGTATGTCAAAATGAAGCGCTCGGTGATCATGGCTTTTTATTTTATTTTATTTTTTTTTTGTGGGGTTGTTCTGTTTTACCAACGGGGAACCGTATTATTGCCTCTTTGATGAAATGTTAGATTCGTGTATAAGCCGTCGACGGCTGGGCCTGTTATTCAACAAGATTGGCCCGTTGGAAATAATATACATGTTGCCTAAGTCCTTGCTGGAAGCCTGCCGATGATTCGGTACAAATTAACCTGGATCTACTGTCTACGGCTGCGAAAGCCTGCTAAGGTACATAATGCTATTGCGCGTCTCAGTACTAAGGATGCACTTGTTGGGAGAGTAGCTTTTCTCGAAGCCGGGAGTGTAGACTCCAGCGCTCATACGGCTATTCTTCTGTGTAGTATACCGACCCTAAGTTCCGGCGATCACTGAACTATATAATATAATTAATACAGATTTGCTTTGTGTACACTGTCCGTTGGGTATGTCCACCATCATATACGTTATACAGGAGGGATAGACTCTCGGCAAATAGGGCACTGAAGCCGGAGTCGCATCCAGCTTTCCAAGCAAGTGCTGTGAAAGATATGTCGACAAGGAGTGACCATATACGCCCGACGGCTGAGGATACTTGTAGCTCCATCTGTCATGCTGCTGCCTCCAGGAGCACCGAGCGCTGCGAGGACGGGCACCTCAATTTCCTGCATGCAGATTGCACAGTCGAATATCGCCTTTTTCTTATCCTTCGGACGCTGTTTGTCATCCTCTTTGGTATCATAGTCCCGTTCATCTGCTCTCAATGCTCCAATTGGTAGAACTCCACCGGACTCAAGGTCAGCATCCGATTCGGCAGCATCTCGTACAATAGGATGATAATCATAGGCTGGCGGAGCCCAGCCTCGAGGTACGAAGAAGCGCGGTCCTAGAATGTCCTGGCTTGCCAAGATCCAGACCTGTATCCACACCCACCCAGCCAGTGCCATAGCTGTTGTTGGGTCGGGTCGAACGAACAACACGTTACCGGGCATAGTCAAGAAATACATGAAAGGGAACAGGCGCAGGAAACTTTGACCAACCACAAAATCCCAGCGCAGAGCCTTGCGGCAATTGCGCACAACATTTCGATAAATTTGAGGGGTCCAGAATGACACGTATACGAACCCGAGAGCTCGAGCATACAGCGCTCCTAGTCGATTGGGCCATAGGAATGACCAGATGGAAATGATGAGCATGACGAATAGGATAAAATAAAACCGTGCATACATGGCACCTACATCACTGCGGGTCTCTCGGGCTGTCGGTGTGGTGCTACGATTCGGAGGCGGCTCATCCTCCTCCTCTGGAGGATCCTGGTCTGGGGTTAGGATGATAGGCGTTGCACCGGAGTCTCTAAGTCGTGTGGTGGCTGGCAATGGTAGATTGGCCGGGCGTGCTGCTGTTGCTGAAGGGTTGGATCGGCGATCCTGTTCCCGTCGTTCTGGTGCCTGGACCGCCCATATTTCCATCATGAATTTCATTCCGATGTAGCTGACTGAAAGGAAAGTAAGGAATGATGCGGTCGTCAAGAGTAAGAAAGAGACCGCTGGATATAGTTCCAGTAACATGAACACGAGTAAAAACGAGTCTCCAAAGGCCATCAATGCAATCGTATAGAAACTGATACGACTCCTGGTGGAAGGCGTCGAAGCCTCCTTGACCTGCCGCAAAAGCAGGGCAAGTTGTGCAACAGAGATACCACATATTAGGAATATTATTCGAGCTGAGGATTTTCCAAACTGCTCCAGCTTTGGCCCGGATAGATACAGTGCTTCAGTGGGCGAGTAATCGGGTGCGCCCTTAGTCTCAAGGACGTACCCGCAGTCGGGAGAAAATACAACAGCTGACATGACCATAGATGGAGGAGAGGGGATCGGTGCGCCCATAGGGAATCTGAGCTCCTGCTCAATCTGTTCGATGACTTGCCTGTCTGCAAGGTAGTCACGGACGGCAACCGGATGCTGCTGTAGGTAGACTATGTGCTCACACTTCGGCGCTGGGAACTCCACCTGTTCCGCCCCAACAAGCGAGGACCAGGGAAAAAGCGTAGGTGCCCGGTGTTGTTTCTCAGATATTGTATCCGAGAGGGACTTCATGAGAAGCTGGTGTGAAAGGTCGTATGCATCTGATGTAAGTGCCAAATGTGGCAAGGTAAAGATGCCACCGAACTTCTCGCTCGTTGTAGTCAGGATAATGCTCCCCGTTTCAGGAAAATGAATACCAAATAAAGGTAGGTACCATGTATTTCCCCAAAAGTCGCCGTTTTCCACGGCTAAAGTCGCTCGAATCTCACGAATGTGGCCATTGCGCAGCCGAAGCTCTTCGCCACCTCCCTCACGCAAGTCTAGATAGAAGGATCCCGTATTGCCAGTGACATTGTGGCTAAACTCATGCGTGAAGTATTCATTTTCCAGTACGATGGCAGTAGTATTCAACGGGCGATGGGCTTTTTCCAGCTTGCGCCGCACCCAATCTCCGCGCAGTTTACCAGTCGCATTACGGTAGACGGGGAGAAGTAACTCCGTCAGGTTGAGCGCCTGCGATTCGGCCGGGTCATCGAGACCTTTGGGAACATCCAACCCAGCATTTGAAATAACCGACCGTAGCTGATAGCGCGCTCTATCCTGAGCTTCCGAAAGAATCTCCCAAGCGTAACTGTCGTTCTTCCTCACTCCCGGAAAGGGCAGCCATCGATCAGCGGGTGGGCTAAAGTCCCCATACTTGGACTCGTTCAGCAGACGAAGCGCATCCTTTTCCCTCGCGATTTCCCGTTGACGTTCTCGGTCCTGAGAAATCAAAGGGGGATGAGATTGGGAGCTGAGGAGCAGGTAGAAAACGACCAGGAAGAAAAAGAAGGAACCGCGGTGATCCATAGATGCCGAGGAAATGCGGGCATCGGAGTTGGAGTCTCCTCAAATGGAATGGCGTACGTTGTGCTGCATTGCCAGTCCAGGACGTGGCGCAGCAATGAAGATTAAATATGATGTTGTGGAAGGAGAGTCGACCAGGTTTGAGGGCGTAGACAAGGCTATCATGAATGACGACACGGATAAACTGGGAGTCGATGATGCGATGAGTGAGTCGAGGCCTCAGGCTTCCCCGGCACCAACCTCCCCGCCTTTCCGCCTCCTGATTTATCGATAACTCGGGACGATCGAGCCCGTGACCCTTCCCTATCTCTTGCTCTATCATCCTTTCTCCATCCCTGACCCACAGAACACTGTAACATTCCTCAATTGAACATATCCTTGGTTCGGCGCAGGCGCCTTTGGATTTTCTGGTGCAAATGGCATCAAACCTACCTATTCCTCTTCCTCCACGCACTCCCACTCCACCCCCCGATGATCCCCCAAGCGCCCAAGACAACTCTTCCCGCCTTGATGCGCAGGACAAAGATTCTTTGTCACCATTAGTGGACACTTTCCCCCTACAAAGGGGCTCTTTGAATTCTGAAGATCCGAATCGCCTGAGTCCAACGCGAGCATCCTTCGCTCTCAGCCCTTCCGATAATGTACTGCAGAACAGCCAAGGTGACAATGGCTCAGCTGGACCATTCAATTTCAAGACCACCACCATGGCAAAGAGCCCGGTGGTCAAGTCCGTAAGTTCATATGCCCTCTTCGTATGGAATTACATACGAAATGATGCTGATTATTTATCAATTGCGTATAGAACATTGGCCAGCGACGCGGACACAAGTATAAGCATAGTAGTATATCACATCAGATATTCCTCGAGCCACCACCCAGGGCGCCATTAGCCTTACCGAATTCATTACCGATCCCGACTTTCAAGGAGTGCCGCGCGAGCATGTCGAAAGATCAGAAAACGCGGTTTTGGTGGAGTGTGTGTCATATGTTTGTCGCCGCATACACTCTTTGGAGTGCGCACGGGTCCCTGGCGATGACGGCTTTGTCCCACCTCATACTGTTTGACTCTCTTGGAGCGTTGCTTTGTGTTTCGGTGGATGTGTTGAGCAATTTCGAGGTATGGAAGCGATCCAGCGTTCGACATCCATTTGGGCTGGAACGGGCAGAAGTGCTCGCCGGTTTCGCAATGTGCGTGCTTCTGCTTTTTATGGGAATGGATCTTATCTCCCATAACTTGCAGCATTTTCTCGAGTCATCTGGTCACGAGCCCCACCACTCTCATGCGCATGAACGTGTGTCTGTAGGCAGTGTAGATGTCACTGCTCTGTTGGCCATCACATCCACGCTAATCTCTGCAATTGGGCTAAAGAACCATGGGCGGATAGGAAAGGCGATGCGATTCGGGTATATTGAATCTCTGCCTTCAGTGCTCAGCAACCCATCTCACTTTCTTACGCTTTCTTGCTCCACACTTCTCCTGCTACTTCCCCTAGTCTCTGTGCGCCTCTACAACTGGCTTGATGTTCTCTTGTCCAGTACAATTTCTATTTCCATGTGCGTCCTCGGTGTGCGCTTGGTCAAGACACTTGGTTCTATGCTTCTCATGTCATATTCTGGCCCAGGAGTAAAGGACGTCATCCGAGATATTGAAGCCGACCCGTGCGTGTTCGGTGTCGACGACGCCAGGATTTGGCAGGTCCATTACGGATTATGCATGGCAGATTTAAAGCTGCGTGTTTCGGGCTCAGAAGAAAATCTCATTCGACTTCGAGAGCGTATCTCTAGCCTAGTCAGAAACCGATTAGGTGGTGGATATGGGTCTGGAGGTCAGAGGTGGGAAGTATCCTTGCAATTTACGATAGAGAAGTCATGATTGCACGATACGGCCATGATGACGGAGCTTCTTTCTTGAAACGTTATGCTCAACTGTACATTAATGTAACACGTATATGCATTGTTCACTCTGTGGAAATTTAACCACCATATATTTGGCCGTTTTTGACCGCCCATTTTGGGTTGACTGGAAATCCGTCAAACCAATGACTTTCTCGAGGCTACTAGATGATCAAGGATTTCACTACATTCGAGGATTGCTTCTTCGCTATATATGCATTGTAGATGCTAGACACCTTAATCCACAGCCTTTATGGGATACCTAGCTTGTGTGAACACAGGGAAATAGAAACCCTGCACGGATCACATCTCGAAAGAAAGATGGCGGGCGCTACAGAGCAACGATATGAACATACAGATACAATCAAAAAGCAAACGAAAATCTGCCATTGCAATGCGAACAGTGGAATAAAACAATTGAAAGTAAACACATAATTTAGGTCTTGCTCATAGGCACAAAAGCCTTCATGTCTTCCCCTCTTTTGGTAACAGGAGCCCGAGCATAACCGATCGAATTTTGATACAAGAACGACTGGATTGTTGGCCAACCAAGTCGACTAACACAGCCATCGTCTCCTAATCCTGTCCTCCAACCACCTATACCACATTCACGACGTCGCGGCAAGAGTGCCGGCCTCCTCAACCTTGCTCAATGTGGTCTGGTCACGTCTCCGACGCTTTTCGAGAATAGCCTCGCGGCGCTGCGCAAGGATCTTGAGCTGTCTGTCCTCAACGCCCTGGAGCCAGTATCCGAAGCTGCTACCGACGCCGGCGAAGAGAGGGTACACCCAGAGAGATTCCTTGGCGAGAATGGGACGCATTTCGATTCCGAGCTGCCAGAGACGGACGGCGATGCCTGGTTGTACCGTTAGTGGAAGGCCCGATAGCCCAGTTCGGGACCGAGACAGGTCCCAATGAGGGTTATCATGGGGTGAATATGCAGTGCATACCGAAGCCGCCCCAGAAGAGGACTTTGTGGACCATGATGAAGGGTGGTGCGGAGTGCGCGGAACGGGAAGGAGAGCGTCGGAATAAGGGTCGATAAATGAGGGATTGGGTCCGGATTCGCTTCAATCGAGGATAAAGCGGTCACTGCGTAATCTGAGCTCCGAACCGGCGATTTGGTGAGCTTGTTCGGCGGAGATGAGGTTGATTCTCATGTTCTCCCACTCCATCGAATCACGGGGCCGCAGTTCCCAATCTTGTCACGGAATATTGTTCCTCCGATCAAGGGCCCGGCCAACTAAGTCGCGAGCCTGGGATGCGGGCCGCGCGACATAGATTTGCGCTTCCTTTTTGGCCAGCCTTGGAGGAACGTCAGAAAACCCGTAAAGTGGGGTTCACTGATATTTTTTGATTATACTTTTTTTCTGGCTTCTCGGCATGGCTGGTCCAGAGGAGATGCCGGATGTTGAATCTGCTGGTGTTAAACGGCCGTCGGTGGATATTGAGAGCTTGCAACGAAAGAAGTTCAAAACCGAAGAGTTACCATTGTCTCCCACGCAGCATAGGACTATTGAGAACCTCCTCCACGCATTTAAGAAAAGGGGCGGCTTCGACACTACGCGAAAGAAATTATGGACGGAATTTGAGGAAGGAGTATGTTTAGTAGTTAATTCATTTTACATTCTGGTTCTCAGTCGTACATGATTGTTCCCTTGCTAATGCGCTCGCATGTAGGAAGGGAGGGTAGAGTTTACCAATCTATTAGTCGAATTAGCGGAATCCGAGATCACTCGCGAACCAGAACTACTTTCTCGTGAACGTGGAAAAGCTGCGACGCTAATCGAAGGAGCTGTGGATCGTAGCGACATCTATAAAACCGTCGAGGCGTCGCTTGATGCGCTGGCTTCGAAACATCTTCCCGCTATCCTAGAGTCTATCCGAGAGATTCGCCGCGAGGAGATTGGCGATGAAGCTGCCGCTCGCGAAGAGCAGGCTGGGAATAAGACGGACGAAGACTACGCTGCACATGTTAAAGTTAAGCGGGAGGAGCGAGAGAGGGTGTGGCAAGAGACCTTGCGCAAACAGAAAGAAGCCGAAGAAGAGGAAGCGCGACGAAAAGCGGAGGAGAAGCGCAAGCAACGTGAGCTAGATCGGCAAAAGGAGGAGGAAGAAAGGGCAAGAAGAAGGGAGCGTGAGGAACAGCGTCGCGCAGAACAGCGAGTACAGGATGAGCAAAGAGAAAAGGAACGGCAGGAACGATACGAACGACGACGACGGGAGGAACGTGAAAAATATCGTGATTGGCGTGACCGCAGTCGCACGAGAGATAGAGATTCCGAACGAGATCGCGACAGGGACCGCGACCGCTATCGTCGTGACCGCTCGCTAGGCCACCGCTCTGATCGTGGATTATCTCCCCGTGTACGCGATTCACGACGGGATACGTCTGCAACACCAAAGGAACCCACGCCGGCAGCTCCGCCTCCGCCTCCGCCCCCCGTGGATGAGAAGTCATTGGAGGAAGCGGCTTTGCAGCTTCTCCTGAAAGAAGGCGAAGAACTTGCGGCTAAAGCTCGACAGAAACCCGAATTTGACTTCGAAGAAGCAGAAGCAATTGAAAATGGCCTTAAACCGCCACCGACGAAGCCGAAAGGTACCTCAGAATCGAAATTCTCTAATACGCCAACGAAGTCCGGAAGCCCAGCTGTAGACACTGATCAGAGTTGGCGCCGTGGTTCGACTGCAGATGAGCGCAATCGCACTCGGAGACGGGATGATAGCCGCAGTCGTTCAAGGAGACGGTATACGTCTCGATTTGACGAAAACCGCCGGAACTCACGAGACATATCGGCGCGGCCGCGCGACCGCGCCTCTGATGATAGGCTTGCTATTCGTGATTTCCGGGAAGACCGGTATGGTGATCGAAGTTATCGGCCTAATCGTCGGAGTAGGAGTAGATCTACCACCCGAGGGCAGGACCGGGATCGGGATCGGGAGCGCAATCTAGAGCGAACTCGTTCTAGACCTCGATACCGGGAGAGAAGCACAGAGCGTGACAGAGAGCGAGATCATGAATATCGCCGGGACCGCAGTCGCGACCGGGATAGGGAGAGAAGAGATAGGGACCGAGATCATGACAGGGACAGAGAGCGAGATCGCGATCGCGATGGTGACCGTGATGACTACCGTCGGCGGCGTTATTCTCGGTCCCGATCGCGCGCTAGATACCGATCGCGCTCTCGCTCCCGTCAGAGGCACCGGGAGCGCGAACATGATCGTGACCGTGACCGTGGTCGAGAGCGGGATAAAGAGCGTGACAGTAAACGTGAGCGAGATAAATCTGGCTCCCGTGTGTCCGCCTCCTCGCGGAGAGGGTCTCGCTCACGCCGGCGATCTCCGAGCGTTCTTGATATCGACCGGTATGTACCCCCGACTAGCAATCGAAGTCGTTCCCCTCGTCGGCGCGTCCGATCCCCCGAGCGACCGGAGCGTGATGACCGACCGCGCTTTGTTGAGATTGATCGATATATACCCGGTGGAGAGCGAGACCGTGACCGTGAGAAGGATGCGGATCGAAGTCATGAACCTGATGATCGGAGACCACGAAGGAAAAGCCCTAGTCGGAGGAGCCGAAGTCGGTAGACCTGCAGCATGTTAATAATATAAATGAACTGTGTACACTACTTTAGATTTCAAACCGAGGCATGTATCATAACGGAAGGCAATAATGATAATCATCTAATGAACCTGTTATGGGCAAAATCAAGATACCATAAACGCTAGAAAATGACGCTGAGCGGTTCAGAATTTGGACCTATCTTAAACAGCGCTATGCCAGTAGCGCATAAACAGAGAAGTCCCTGAAACCAGACCGGAGCGAGAAAGAGTATCAACTATTCTAGTACAACACAGCGTATTTAAAAGAATCCCTCAGTCCTTCGAGGCAGCTCGCTCAACAGCTTCTTGATATCCGTCGTTCTCATCGTGACGCTTATAGAAATACGCATTGGACCCCGTCCCAGTGGGTCGTAGTTCCGGCGACAACCGGTCGAGGATAGTTCTTTCCAATGCCTTGATAGAACGTTCATTGGAGCCAAGCTTGTTCCAAACCGAGATCAGATGAGTGTTGAACCGGACTGAGGTTGAAACCCCGAGAACATGGTCATGTTCTATATACAGGCAAATTAGTTATTAATGTCTCAGGAGACACGGGAGAGTAGGGAGGAAACGAACCCTGCTCAAGGACGGCCTGAAATTCATTTGCCATGCAGAGAATAGCAATCTCATGGAAGAACTCCTGGGCTTTACTCTTCGGCACACGGAATCTCCAACATCCTCCCTTCAGGTTCTCCTGATCTTCCCACACGGGACGCACCCCCTTGCGAAAGATATGCACCGTGTCTCTGAGCCGGATCTTCTCCCATGGGTAGTTGTTGTAAACCCGGTAGAAGGTCGCAATATCGGCGACATCTTCATGAAGGACGTACAGCCTGTTATCGTAGTCGGTGGAGTCGGAATGCCTGTCATACCAGACTGTCCAGTGATACTGGAAAGGCAGAGGACGGAGCTTCCCAAAGATGTTCTGATGTAGTGACTTTCGCGTTGGGGCAATGATTTGTGCCGATTGTCGCTTGTCGATGCCGCTATCTTTTGTGTTGGTGTTCTCGCCCAGGGGGCTTTTCTCATTGACATGGACTCTTGGGATGGCCATGCTGAGATGGGGATAAAGGTAGAATTGTGTGACTTTAGGGGAGTTACACCTCCTTAATATGAGAATAGAAGGCAGGTGTGAGAACTCATGCCAAAAACCTGGAGTACCAGGTAGTCAAAGGATGCCTCTTGTGCGTACAGTTCCTGCAGTGTAGGGGGCATCCACTTCTTTCTCGGTGATTCGAGTTAAATACACCTCTCAATCGCTATTCCTCATGTAAGTTACAGTACACAGGTGATGTATCTGAATGAATATAGTAGGTAAGATAGGTAGGGCCGGACATGAACAGATGCGGGATATAGTTCACACCTGGACGCGTTCAGGACCATTGACAGCGATCCAGGCAGCGTAAAGTCACAAGATTGAAAAGTGTTGGTATATATGCTTACCGTATGGTATAGATTTCTGTAAAAACAACTGATACTTCAGGGATCAGGAGACAGCTTGCCAGAAACATCTGCTGGAGCCAAGCCTCTTGGGAAACAATATAAATCACCAGGCACGGACCGGGCAACGACGGCAAAATCCATTCGAGCGGGGTGTGAAACAGGATCAAAGTATCAATAGGAGAGAAAGAGAATAAGATCTTTCATGCAATGCGAAAATCGAGATCACATTCTGGCCCCCATTGGCCCCGTCCGTCCAAAAACATCCCTGTCATGCTTCTTCAATGTGAGCGACAAGCCGGCATGATGGACGATGTTTGGTTCTTACGACTTCCCAGATTATCCTTAATCAACCAACCTCCGTTTTCAAACAACCCCCTAAATCCACTCTTCGCACCAATTATTGCCCACCCTCCCCCTGGGAACTCTAGTCGACTTCCTCGAGCCGCCCCCCACATCCTGTGCGAAACGCCGTGAGGTGTAAAGGAGGGGAAAAGTAACTCTTCATTGGCAGGGCGCAATCATGGCTGATAGTGATAGCAAGCGCCCGCAGTCCGACGATCCCCAACCGCAACTTGCATGCGATGCCGTTTCTTCCTCTAAACGGTCCGGGAGCCTTTCCAATCAGAATGAGAACGTTGGCGACGAGAGTGACGAGCGGCGCGTATTCTCGTTAGCCCTGCGCGACAACGTCAAAAAGGCACACGCTTCTCCCGCCAAAAATGATAGCGACAGTGACGATGACGACTACACCTCATCCTCCGGGAGTGATAGTGACGAGGACGATGAGGTTGACGCCGAGGAAGAGGATCAAGATCATGATGTAAAAAGTGACAATGGCTCCGATCACACTTTACCGCGCATACCTGCTCCACAAAAACCTCAAATACATCGTATCGACAAAAATTCCGATATCCTCTCCCGATTGTCTGCGTTTCTCCCACAAATGAAAAGTGCCAATGATAAACTACAGCAAGAGATAGAGGCTGGGAGGGGAAAGGACCTGAGGTTGGACGAGGTGGATGATCAAACTGATGGTCAATATATTGAGATGGTAAGCAAATCTTTCGCATTGGTTCTTGTTTACTTGTGCTGATCAACGATTCTTCTACAGAATCTGGGCCTAGGCGTCCTGGAAGAGAAACGCCCCGCCGACGGCGTCGCCCCTAGTGCAAAGAGCGAAGGCTCGGACGAAGGCCCTGCATCCAGCCACGCAGAATCACACCCTAATGCATCACCCGAGTCGAACGTGTTGGAGACGCTGATGGGGAACAAAGATATTACATCGTCGAAAAAGCCAACTATTGAGGAAATGAACGAATAAAAACCAGTAAATGTGGGATTGGGTTGCATGGACGGCGCTTACGGATGTGATATGTTTTTACCTACATATTGGATGAGCTTTTTGTGCGTGATCAACTTACTGTACGATATATTCTCTTCTTGGCCTTTGGTTATTCCTCTACGCGGGATCTAAAAGTTTTGGTTATGTCGTCGCTGGAAGAATAGACTAGAGTAATTGTATAGCTTGGCCCAAGGGCTGTAATAGCATATGAATTCTAGCAGTATTCAGGACATCAATTGCATTTTCATATTCTTTTCCTATACCATACAGGGGATCGAGCAAAGTCTAATAGTGACAGTAATAATATCATCGACGTGACGAAAATCTAGCCATATTTGCATGAGAAGAAAACAGATGTACACATGCCATCTGATGTGATAAAAATCAATGCATCACCATACCGCCATATCCGTCATATTTAAGAGACTTCCTTCACGCGGCAAGTCCATCCGGATTCCTGGCTCAAAAGAGGCAAGCTGTGATCAAACATTAGCACAAACTCAAACATAATAAAACGATGAAAAGGTTCAACGGGTTATTTACCTTGCGCCTAGACACCAGCCAAGTTCGTTGTTCTTAATCTTCTTAGCGATCTTAACTTCTCGGGACAACGGCATCTCGTAGCCAGAGTGCAGCAGTGCAAGCATGAAGTTCAAATCCAAACACCACTCAGGACGGTCGTGCAACTCGGCCATGGCTTCTCCCATGCCTTCGAAAATCTTCCATGACGATTGGCCGGCGCAGACCGTGGACGTGAGCTGGCGCAACTCCTCCAAGGTGAAAGAGTCAGGCATGCCCAGTGGCTTGGTGCGGTCAAAGAAGTAGGAGAAGATATAAACATCTTCCCTGGAAAATGTCTTCTCAAGGGAGGGCTGATGAACACCATTAAAGGAGCAAGGTGCGAGTTTGCATTCAGCTTCCTTCTTGAGGATCTTCTCGGCGAAGCCACGGCACAGGGCAGGCGAAGAAGATCCGTCCTGCGGGCCAACCATCTTGACAGTCACCTTTGGTCCAAGTGGGTGCTCATTGTCGAATTTCACGTCCACATCGCGCTCCATACCAGGTGCGATACAGGGGTTAGCAATGGGCTGCTTCAACCAAGCCATATCGTTTCCGCTGGAGGCCAGTTTACCCTCGACGACAGCTTTGTGAATGGCTTCACGTGCAGCCATGAGACCGTATCCAAGGTGAGAGTGTTGGTACAGCTCAAAGCCCCGTCCACCGAACTGGAGCTCATACTTGTGATCGCCGTCAGCTAAGCGTTCCGGCATACCACCTGACTTGCTCTTTTCGAATGTGGGCTGGAAAACAATCTGAGTAGAACCGCCACCTAGGTCAAAGATCGCAGCAGTCGGCGTTTCGTCTGGGCCGCCGATCTTTCCGAGAAGATAGTTTGTTGTAATCCATGCGTAAACACCCTCATCGGATCCATCCATGATCTCAACGCCTCCCTTCTCACGAGAGACAACGGGGAAGGGATAGACAGTCTCCAAGCGATTCCTTACTGCTTCCAGAATGTTCTGGCTCATCTCCGGCCCAAGCATTCGCAAACCGGCAGTGGCCTTAACGGCGACTGGAGAGCAATATTTGTACTCTTCGGGAACGGTCCTCATTGCAACCTGCATGAGAGGGTCAAGACTCTTGGCAGCTCCTTCGGCATCTTCCTTGTATGAGCTCAATCCGGAACCGCCCTTCTTCTTCTCAGTCTGCTCAAACTCCTCGTGTTCAAGCTCGGGAGTAGGGCCGCAGTTGTTGAACCGGTAGACATGGACTCGAGAGCCCTGACTGCCAGCATCGATCATAAGAGCGTACTGAATCAACGGTTTCGAGGGATCATATGGCTTAGTACATTTGTCCGTTAGAGGAGCGACACCAGTGGGAGATTTCTCTGTACGGCCTATTAGTGGACATAATTAGTCGGTGAACAATTGTACGCAACATACCGCGGCCAAAGCCTGTCACTGCTGGCTTCGATGGTGAGAGCCAAAGGATCATCAAGAACAAGGCGCCCACGATGGCGCCGGTCTTCAGGTACCGAGACCTCTGACTTTGTGCCATCATGTCGGTTGACGGACTTTGACAAGTGTCCGGTGATTTGCTTAGTATGTTCGCGGGTTGGGACGCCCGCGAATTGGAACGTCTACTGACTTCAGAGCCTGGCCTCTGGAAAGGTGGTGTGTGGTTGATATGTCGACCGTCAACTCCAGTCGACATGCAAAAGATAAGACAGAGGACGAGCGAGTGGCGTTTCGTTCCGGGTCAACGCTGTTATAGTTTCGACCGAGTTGGAAAAGAAAGATAGATTAACGGTCGAAATGAAGAGAAACCATAGATCCTCCAGGAGCCTCCGGACCAGCCCAAAAAGGATCGTGGATGGCAAAGCAAAACCAGCGAAAAGAGGGTTGATAGATGTCAGGAGAGGAAAAGGGCGCAACCGAAAGGAGATAAATTACAGGCGGCCGGGCCTCAGGGTCTCGATCCCGCCCCCGTGAGTGTGTGGCGCACGTGTGGCTGGTTCGCCGCCGAATGCGTCCGTTGAATGACGGGACGAACGTAGCTGGGGTTCATCATACATTCCAAACTATATCTCTTTTGGGAGCTCCCCTCTCGATCTTTTCATGACCGATTAGGCATATCTGGCGCTGTAATCAGTTGCTTCGAAAGCGAGTTCATTTTTTTATTTATCATTTTTGAATACTCACCTGAACCATCGATTGTGAGCTTTCTCTCTAGTCCTCCAACCCTGACTACAGTCCGAGATGAAGCATATACGTGGTTTCATCTCTACCACACAAGCCTTGCGTCGTATCTTTCTTGCACCTATAGAAACTCCTAGACCCCAGTTTCTCCGTCCCGCTTTTCTTCCGACCTTCGCGCACTCGCGCCTTCTTTCCATCCGCCGCCAGCCTCAACAGCAAGATGCTCTGCTCCAGGCAAGGGCAAGACAGGTGAAAGATGAAGAAATCCGGTCAGAATATATCCAACTCGTGAACGAGGATGGTAAACTGGATCCACCAGTAAGGCTTCATGATGCCTTGCTGACAATAGAGCGCCCGGACAACTTCATATTACAGGTCTCCCCTGGCTTCCGCGGCCGGGCACCTGTATGCAAGGTCGTAAATCGACTTGAGATGCGGGAACAAGAACGTGCGAAAGCAAAAGCTGCTCACGTCAACAAGAATTCGCTTAAGCAGATCGAGCTGAACTGGGCTATCGACGCCCATGATCTCGCCCACCGCCTGAAGCAATTGACAAGCTTCCTGGACAAGGGCCGGAAAGTAGAGGTTATATTGACCAAGAAGAGAGGCAAGAGGTCACCCACTGTGGAGGAAGTCAAACATGTGATGGATAGTGTGTTGCAGGCTACTAAGGATGCCAATGCTATGCAAGTG